AAACTTTGGAAATTTAAAAATAATCTGGAAACATCCCTGGACCCCAGGTTGAAAACCACTGCCCTAGAACAAGGATTTTGGTTATTTTCCCCCTTCGAAAGTGTGGGCAACAGCTACAAACAGGATTGGTTTTAAAAGTCTGTGGAAACTTTCCTTGGTTTAACAGCTTTTGAAAAGTAAGTCAGGCTCTTCTCTCTGGTACAAAGGGTGATCAGCTCTTTTAGTCTTTAAGTCTTTCAAGCAGTTTGGGTTGCTTTTGCACCCTGGGCAAATCTTTCATAAGAACATAAGAACGGCCACACTGGGTCAGAGCAATGGTCCACCTAGCCCAGTATCCTGTCTTCTGACAGTGGCCAATGCCAGGTGCGTCAGAGGGAATGAGCAGAACAGGCAATCAGCGAGTGATTCAAGAGCACTGTTTCTACCCAATAGCCCTTGCGGTTTTTATTTTGAAGAAAATATTCCCGAGGTTTGATGTTTTGATTCAAATGCAGGGGACAGGGCAGGAGGGCGCGATGCTTGCTGAGAACTGTTGAGCTCCCAGCGGCTTAGCATCCTTAAGTGATCCGACATACGGGCATAACCGGCAACGGCTTTAGAAAACCTATTCTGCTGGGCTCAGCCATGCGGCCGTGGATCCCCGATACTGCCAGCTCCTCGACTTGCTGGCATTTGTGTGGGGATGGGAACCGCCCTTGGGGTGTGGTGCTTTTTTCTCTCTGCCATTTATTTACCTTGTAACAGGCTGGGGGGCAGGGCAGAGCTTTCTTGCTGCTTTAAAACGTTTTCTTTCACTTGATTTTCTCTCTCTTTCTGTGACTGGCCGGAGGGCTTTTCTGATGTTCTAACACTTTTCCTTCCTGGTTGATTTAAAACTCACTCTCTTCCTTTTTTCCCCTTTCCTGCAGGTTTAACATTTTCTGTCCTTTCCCTCTTTTGCAGTTTTAAAACTCTTTCCTTGTTATTTTCCTTTCCTGCAGTTTTCAGACTTTCTCTCTGACCCTTTTCCTTTCTTGATCGCTAGGTGAGAATCCGCTTTCTTTTGTAAATGATTTAAAAGGGGCTCAACCTCCCTTTACTCACTGTTATTTAAAATGTGTAAACACCCGGTTTTGTTCAAAAATCTTCTAACCTGAACACGTGAAAACACAAACAAGCTTCCTAATTCCCCACAGAAAGAAAAATGAAAACATGAATCTTTTCTCCAAAATGCCCAACATGGCAAAAGTGCACACGTCCATAAATGAGACTGGAAGGTGGGACATAAAGCAAAAAGGGGACATGGAAATCTCTCAAAATTGGTATGCTGGGTAAAAGGCGCAGAAGTACTACGCTCTCTCCTCAGGGGTACTACAGACTGGCAGGGCTCACCTCTCATGCTGATGACCACTGGCTCACTCCTCCTGGCTGGGACATTCCGTCCGGACAGACGTACCCAGTATGAACAGCTGTATGACCCAAATACCGTTGGTCCAGTGATGTTCAAGTTGTAGGTATAGTTCTTCTTGGATGAAGCCAGCGCTAACACAGCTATTCTATCTCCAAAGTACTGGAAACCTTTAACCCTGTCCACTGAAGGGGGTGCTGAACACACGAGTCCCACGGAGTCACCAGCACGGTACACCCGGCGCCGGGGATTCAAGGAGAGGGATGGGGCCGCAGGAGCATCTGGGAAACATCAATGACACCTATCCATCCTGAGGAACACAGGACCAGCATCTTCAATCCCAACCCAGTCCCTTCAGGCTGTGGGGGACCCATCCCTAGTCTGCGGCCCACCCGTGTCCTTCCTGAGGTCCTCGTCAGAACTCACCGAGAACCCCATGGCCTGGATTAAAGGGGACTCTGTATGGCAAATGTATCTGTGGTGCTTATAGAGCCAGAGTAGCTGAGTGTGTCCCAGTCTTTAATTCAGGAGGGGGGCAGTGCTGTTACTTCCCCCAGGAGCAACAGGCACTCTCTAAAAGTGGGTGGGCCATGGGCTCCCAAACCGTGGCCCTGCCCCTTCTCCCTGAGCCCCCATCCTAGTGTCGCCCCTTCCCCCGAGGCCCTGCCCTCGTGCGGCATTTTCCCCTGAGGTCCTGCTCCCGCGCCACCTCTTCTCCCCAAGACCCCCACCGCCGGCTCACTCCACTCTGCCCCTGCCCCTCACCCTTACAGCTGGTAAAAATGGGGAGGGCAGAGTCCTCCCACTTATAACAGTGATGAGGCCCTGCCCCCCCACCCCGTTCTGTCATCCCTGACTCCCCCCCCATAACAGATGCACAAAGAGCCAACGATTGGAGTTAAGTGCCTACATGGCCCAGGCCCTTTGTAAAACCCCACTAGGGACCTAAATGCCTCTTGAGGTGCCTAAATACCTTGAGAAATGGAGACTATGAATTACAAAGCTATTTAGATGCCTAAAGACAGAGGTAGGT